AAACCAGGAGAGTCCTTACCAGAACTCAAGCAGGTGAGCATTAGCTTACTGTACATGTTTAGCTGGAAAACTAGGGCTTGAATGAAAAACAGAGATTTGTGAATCCAGATTACATAGCTTAACTCTCCATACCATGGGTCGTGTAACACCACCATAAATCAATTTAGTGTCAAAGGTTCTTGCTCTCCCACACACTGATATTAAAGTTTAAGCCATACATTCTTATCTTGTTTTTTGTAGAGTGCCGGAGAAGAGTCAGTTGCCAATTTAGATGTAGTACGTCATGCCAATGGAAGCACTCCCACAGCACAACTGAGGTTGAAAATGCAAAAGGTAAGGCTGCTTCAGCCATACTATTCCTAGAGTAAGGATGTCCAAGCTTCTTAGTATGCACTCCATGCTGCAARACACTTGGAATACCTCAAAATGTAATTTTTTGTGGTTTTTTGTTTAGATTATGCAAAACAATGCAGCAGTATTCAGGACTGGGACAGTTTTAGAGGAAGGCTGCAAATTAATAGAYGAAGCTTATAAAGAATTAAAGGACCTTAAGGTGAGCATTGGGGACCCAAAGGTGAACCCTCTGGAACTCCACTGAATTAGATATTCTAGCTCCTGCCAAAAAGCTGAGGGACCCAAAGCTGAACACTGAGGAACTACAGTAAATTTAGTATTCTAGTTCCTGTTCTTGGCCTTAGTTAATGTAACATGCAGATTTATTTATATATTACTGTGATTATTTTTCAAGTTATATGATCGCAGTTTGGTGTGGAATACTGATCTCATAGAGGCCTTGGAACTTCAAAATCTGATGATCAACTCAGTACAAACAATTGGCAGTGCYGAGAATCGAAAAGAGAGTCGAGGTGCACATGCTAGAGAAGATTACAAGGTAACATTTATTGTGTCGCTGTGGTTTCTGATGGGAAATGCAATTCATTCACAAAGTGCTCACCAGATAGTGTTGAGCAGGAGTATGAAGCAAATCCAATGGGTCTAGGAAAAAATAAGAACTTCTGTAACTCTACTTAGTGGTGTCATCTCACATACCATGTTTGGCTTCCAATAAATTCCGAAGCCATAACTAACATGCTACTTACTTGCTATCGTAAAGTCCTCCATGTTGTGGTATATAATCAAAATGTTCATCAATTTTGTACAGTGTCCATGCAAAAGACACCCAATTCTTACCCTTTTTCTCCCCCCAGGATCGTATAGATGAGTATGACTTCTCCAAACCCCTTGAAGGGCAGACAAAGAAACCATTGGACCAGCACTGGAGAAAACACACTCTTTCCTGGATAGACCCTGACACTGGAAAGGTAAGGGTAACCAACATGCAGGTTGCTTGGGAAACCATTTCTAAATTCCCATCCATTTTTTCATTAAAAGTTGCTTTGTTGAAGTAAGTTTGGATACTAGTCAGCATTACAGACCCTAGGAAAATGACTAAGCTTTTATGATTGATTTTGGATTAGTGACAGTGTTTTGGAAAAAAATGTTTAGTAATGCCTGAAGCTCCCTGGGTCACCCAACATTTATAATAACTGTAAGAGTCTATAAAATTGGTTACTGTTAGGCTGTATTGGCTGCCCACAGTCCTATCTGAGTGTGCAAATATTTTCGTCTAGTCTCGATACAAGCAATGCAATGCACACAAATTCCAGAATGCTGTCTCGTAAGAAGATGTGTGTACYTATCGAAATCTTTGAACCTATTGCACTCTTTTGATGTCTCTCTTGTTTYTGTAGTATAAGCTGGATTATCGTGAGGTCATTGACTACACCTTGGATCAAGACAAGTGTGCTACTGTGCCTCCAGCAGTGAGATCCTACTAAATTAACGACAACAAACTACAAGATAATATAACCATCACTACAATCTTGTTGGTTACCACTAATGTCTATGACAAGATATCTGGTGTTGAGACAATAATTTTATTAAATAGCCTTGTCATTGCAATGGTAAACCAGTCTCATCTTGAAAATTTGATGGGTGTCAAAATAAGAAGTGTTTTTTTTTCCAATAAAAAGCCATGTTGGTTATCAAGGCATTTCTTGATAAGAGTCTATGCTTAGAATTTCATCAAAGTATCTGATAATTCCATGATCTTTTAGCTAATATAATATTTATGTCATGTTTTGTGACATGCAGATATGTAAAATAAAGGTAGTTTATTCATASTATGAGATTCTTATTTTCGGTATGTGCATTTTGTCCAATAAAAAATATTTGTTCGACTATAAGACTACCTAWTTTTTTTATTAGAAATTGTGAATCTTTTAGAAGGTGATTATTTGCAAACCCTTTCTGTCAGTTTAGAGAGAGTAGACCTGCACAAAATTCTTTTAGTCCAATTTTGCTTTGATTACTTATCTGTCCATAGTCATTGCTAATTTTAAAAAAATTATTTAAATTTATTTTACATTGTGTTAAACAAGTACAGCTATATAACCTTTATAATATTTTCTAACATTCTCTAGTAATATCTGGAATCTATCTATAAATACAGCCTGCTGAGTATATGGCATGGGTTTCAGAAGAGATTCATGTATAAGCATACAATATGCCCAAGAGCAGATAGTCATCAACTCAAAAGGAATAAGGAAAGATTCAGTCTACAGCATCTTAAAGTAATTTCTATGTTTGCATCGTTAGTAAAAATACCTACATGTGTAAAGGCTTAAATTTTTGTTTTTTTTTCTTGTAAGATTGTGGGGTTTAACCCCTTCAGAGCTAAATCAGCACTGACATGAATCAATCTTAAGGAACAATCTTAGTCAATGTGGCTGTGCCAGGAGACCAGAAATGTCATTGCTTCATTATTTGCATGACYTTGGCAATTAAGTTGACAACCAAACATTTAACAAAACTTTGGATCAACCTTCTGAAATTTTGTTTGTACCTYGAATTAAATGCAAAGATCAACTCAACATTGAATTATGAATATGGGATACCTTATATTTACATGTAACATGACATCAAGTCTATTTCCTTTATGTGAAATACATTCCACTCTTTACTTTGTCGTTAACGCTGATGGCTTTATTAAATTCTTGCATCAATTCTTCCTCTGACTTGCGGTCATCCTGTCTTGCTCTAAAAGAAAGGAAAAACATTTTAATGAGAAAAAATAAATGGCAAACAGTTTTCAGGGAAAAAATAAATGGCAATACTCTTTGGGTGCAACCAGGCATAGTAAGCAGGGGAGGGCATAGATACACTATGGGTGCAAAGTCCATACGTGTGACAAAAGTAATAGGTCAGTAACTGTTGTATTATACTCACCCTACCAATCCATTCAGATGGTGMCRTGCTCTGAAGGCTACCAGGTGTGCATAGTAAGCAGGGGAGGGCATRGATACACTACGGGTGCACAGTGTGTACATGTGATAAAWGTAATAGGTCAGTYGTATTATACTCACCCTACCAGTCCATTCAGATGGTGCCGTGCTCTGAAGGCTACCAGGTGTGCATAGTAAGCAGGGGAGGGCATAGATACACTACGGGTGCACCGTGCATACGTATGACACAAGTGATAGGTCAGTTTCTGAAGACCATCAGCTGTGAAGTTGTTGTCATCGTACAACACATGGTAGTGGGTGGGGCGACTTGTTCCCTGAAACAAGAAAAAACACTTGAAGAAGTTTAAACACTGAAATGCAAAAGTAAAGTTAGGAAAGGTGAGAAGGGGAAAGAAGGGAAAAACCTCAATCTCTTTTTTATTGAATTCTGATACAACATGTGGAATAATGAAAAACCAGGCATGACTACCTCACAGATTGAACCATGAAACAACCTCTGGGCTGATCCAAAACAGGGCATGGCTTATTCACAGACTGAACCCTGAAACAACCTCTGGGCTGATCAAAAACAGGGCATGGCTTATTCACAGACTGAACCCTGAAACAACCTCTGGGCTGATCAAAAACAGGGCATGACTAACTCGCAGATTAAACCCTGAAACGACCTTAGGGTTAATCTAAGCCAGGGCAAGGCTAACTCACGGATAAAATTATCATGTTGGGTCCTTAGGAGGGAGGAAACTGGAYAAAATCTTCAATGCATATACCTGGATGCCTTGGTGACTGCAGAGATAAAAGTCAAACTCAAAGGGATGTGTGATACCACTATCAACAGTGGTTCCAGCAGGAATATTTCCAGCCYTCCCAGACTGGTCATTCCTATCAACACAAAACAGCCTGGTATGGTGTCTCTTTTGGACCACAATAAAAGTGATAGGTGGTTGATATTGGCCGTCTTCCTGGATGTTAAGGCACGCCTGTTGAACGGCCTTCACCTCGTTCACAAGSACTTGATCAAACTGTCCCTCACTTACTCCATCCCGGTAAAAAATAATTCTTTTTGGTTTGAGCTTTGTTTGTTTATAGAACTCTACCAGCAATTCTTTAACCATGTCAGCCATTTTCACAATGATCTCTTGCGCTGCTTTGTCTTTTATATGAGTCTGCGCTCTCACCCKGGCAGCATACCTACTGGCATGGCTGTCCATGCTTGCAACAACAGCAGCAACCGAGGGAATTTCCTTCTCACCAGGGGAGGGGTGAGTCACATCGGCCCCAAACACGATCACATCTTTAAACAATTCAGGCATCATGGATGGATCAACRATGTGGTTGATTCCTCCTAGTTTAGCGTTTATTTTCATAGCGATGTTTGAGCAGACTTGTGGTTTTGCACCCATGAACTGTTTGGTCTGTACACATTGTGTAGGGATGCCGAGAATAGTGTCTCCTACGCGCTTAACTTCCTTGTAGATATCCTTGTTGCCTTGAATTGGAAGAACGACTAGGATAAGCTGCAAATCTTGATATCTGACAACAAGGTCTGATAACAGCTGTTTAATCTGCAACATAAACAAAATGTCTTATTTCCAAATCAATGCTAGAAGCAATTCACAAAACKTCCCACTCCATCCCCACCGCTTCCACCTCCCCTTCACTGAATGTAAGTATATTTCTAAAATTTTCCTTGTTTTGCAAGGATAACGCTTAATAGCCAGTGACCCTTATTCCATGATTACATCTAGGGGATGACTGGGGATTACAAGAAGGCTCATCAAGACTCACCTGTATCAAGGGAACCCATCCTTCTTTAAGTAATGTTGAACAAAAGTAGCCCAATTCAAGACGATCATAACTCTTCCCCCACCCCTCCCCTCCATCCCAGGATACATKAAGTCACTGTTTGCATGSTGTTTGCTTTGGTTAAGTTGGCAGAGCAAGGTGGCCCCACACCTGCTCCCCTGGGGACACCAAACTAGAGGCTCTACTAATTCTTGCTCTGCCAAATTAAACAAAGCAAACACCATGCAAACAGTGTTTTCCTTCGCAGCCATCATTAGTATAGTGACAGTGCCACGATCTAGGACAAACACTGATGACAGTTGCCAAGGGGACTATGCAGACAGTGACAACCAAGGGAAGTAGAGGGAAGGCTTGCTTGATGGGAAGGCTTGCTTGATGGGAAAGGACTTACATTATCATTGTTTCTGGCATACTGGATCCTGCAAGGCTCACCATTCATTCGCATTCCTTCACTCTGACAGACACTWCTCATCGTACTGGCAAACTTGCGTGTGACAGTTTCATTACATTTTTTTGGGTGCTCAAAACAAACCATCGCCCATACTCTAACATCAGCTCCATGAAAGAATTTTTTCCCTCTCATATCCCATACTCCATCCCGAGGGACCACTGTGCCACGGTCTCCTAGTTTAACATCTGGGGCAGATAGGACTCTACCATCAACATCTACCATTGATTTGTTGATGGACATACCAAACTCGTTAGCTAAATAGCTGCGGCTCGCAGATTCCAGTTCTCCAGCCTAAAATGAAAGCAGGAAAAGAACATTACGGTTACTTWATATTCAGCTAATGTTTTCTGATCTTAGATTTCTCTAGACAAATGGCTCAAATGTTTGGCTCTTCAGGGGACAGTTTACGTGTGTGTGAGGGGAGGCYGAAGTGGGCAGAGGTGAACAATCTYCTCCCCTCCTTCACCCTYGTCCTYCTTCCAAAGGTCCTTAAGTAGCCATAACATTAAGCTTRGATTCCAATAAGGTTCTCTATACCCATACTAACCCACTGAGATATTTTCTTTTGTCTCTCAAAAGCTGGTCTTGCAGTCTTCTTGATCATTTCAGCAGTCTGCTTATCTGTTAACTTTCTCTTGGCACAAGGAACTGTAAAGCACACTTCCATGGGGAGAGAGTTGTTCTTCTGTCCCACAATGAGACAAGGCAAATGTGGATACCTTAAGAAAGAAAATTGCACATCAACACACCTTAACCACCAACCACTAACAGTAAGGGCTATAGCCACCACTCTTTTACTATATCTTAAGCAGATAACACTCAAATCGATTGACGACTCTTAATTAGCCTCACTTCTGAGTTCGGTAAACAAAAGCAGAAATTAGAATGACAAAACAAGCAACTCCTGGATTCGAGGCTAAGCCTGAATACACTGGATTTTAACAGTTGTCAATGTTGATCTTCATGGAGAGAAAAACACCAGTCCTTCAATACATTGAGGAAAAACCATCATTTAACCATAAAATTAACAAACCCTAAGCCAATCAAATGAATCACTCAACCTTTAAGCATTAAAAGATGAGAGCTGAAAAAAATTTCCAACCTTGTTAWCATTTTAAATATAACATATTTTTGACCAAATAGCTGCAGTTCCAGTACTCACTGTAGTGGGATTTGATATTTCTCAAGGAAATACTGTTCCACTGATATCTGTCTGGGTTKGGATGCTCCTTCATCTTGTAGAGGAAAATAATGAGTAGAGGCAGATTTGCCCAGATTTGTTACAAGATATTTCCTCTTCATGCCAGGWATGTGACTCGTTTCTATCTTTAAACCTGCAAGAATAAAACATTTGTCATTGTTGCAACAAATTATTATTTGATGATCAGCCCAGGCTTTGTTTCAAGGTTCAATAAAATTTGAAGGTTTACATTCCAATTCCTGTTGGATCCGCATACTGTATGATGAGCATGGTGCATATTTCAACAAACAATGAACTGTCAGTAGTAGTGTCAGTATCACTTACCTTTGATGGCGGTAAGAAACTCTTTCCTCATCGGCGGTGACATCTGCCATGTCCTGTCTGTCAGATTTGATTCCCTGAAGTCCCTGAAGTTGGGTGTCAATGTTTCCCACAGAAACTCTATCACTGACTGATGCTTCACAAATCCTTTGGAAGACACTAATTGAGAATAATGCAAACATTTTGTAGGTTAGATACGTGAAACATTGTTGCAGAAACTTTTTGAGCACTTGGGAATAATAACCATCCTCTTCTTGACCAATGAATATAGTATAGAGCACAGGCTGGCTTCAACATCTCTGTAAACCCGGGGAGGGGGTACTCTTGCCCATTTAGGGTAGGGATGTGCCGCTGAGCCCTCTGAACCCTGACCCTGTTCCAGAGCAAGATCGCTGAAAACCATACCCTTTTCCTGTAGTGCAAAAATAGATATCATGTTCCAGAGAGGAGAGAGCGCAATTTTATATACACTGTTCCAGAGTAGAATCGCTGAAACCATACCCTGTTTGGGGGCACGTACCCGTAAAGCGAATATAGGGGAGTACCCCCCCCCCCTGGGCTGTAAACCATGCACAGCTCCGAAGTTTGTGTGACAGATATTAATTTTTATGATCATAGCATTGTTTTGATTGGGAAAGAGGGGAAAATCGTATTTGAGGTGCTTGTGTTGCCACTATGATGGTTTACAGTCATTTCACCCACGGACCATCTCGCCCATGCATAAAATAATTGATCATGATGCTTAAGCTCAAGACTTCAAAACGCGAACTTTTTATTCGCCATAACGGACTCGCCTATGCTAACTCGCTAACGAACGAAACAACTTATAAGCCAATGTAAATGTCACATACTTTAGCCTTTTTGAACCTCAGATGAGTTACTCCTAGCCTTTTTATCGTTATTTAGCTTGCTTGACATATAAATGCTTCTTAGAACACAAAGTTTTATATATCCGTATTATCCGTTGAAGGACGCCCGACGCCATAGCTTTAAATTATATGCCGCCTAGTTGGTTTCTTAAATTTTACAGCATCTTGAGTCGGTTTTAAACTTTATTTCAAACTTTTTAACCAAACTGTCTTCTTATTTGAGTGGCCATGGTACAAAAAACAGGAAATTCGGTCTTTGTTTCTTGGCAAATTATTATCAGCATCTCACGGCGAATTCACTGAGTCGTTAACGCACAAAACAACTTAAGCATCAAGTAAGGTTGGTAAATCACGAACTACTTTTTTTAGTCATGGTAACATATTTCTTAAAGTGATTCTACATGTGGGCGAATTGGCAAACGCATGATCGATGATTTTATGCGTGGGCGAATTTGCGTGGGTGAGATGGTCCGTGGGCGAAATGACTGGTTACCACTATGATTCTATATTTTTTTATGCTCTGCAGCTATTATGTAGTTCCAGAAAATATCAATACCCCTATCATTGAGGGTGTGGCTATCAAACCACCTCGGAAGGAGTTTCAGTCATACCTCTGCACATATTCAAACTTTAATTCACCATTTAGATCACCTTTTAACAGAAAATAGCACCAAAACTCGGCGAAATCTAAGTTAGATAACAAAACAGTACAACCACGTTTGACCAAAACGTAGTACAGGTGTGTGTATGGGTGTGTATGTGTGTAAGTGTGTGTAAGTGTGTGTAAGTGTGTGCAGGTAAGTTTCTATGTGTGCAGCGCTGGCCAGTAACCACAGGAACTCAAAACATGACACAGGGTTCCCATCTGCGGCAACAGAGTGAATTTGTAAAAGGAGGGCCTCTACCCAAAGAACTTCCAATTTCCTTCCATACAAACTCTGTAATTTTGTTCCTTTCTGACTCCCACTCCCCTCCAGAATTTCTATCTTCCTCTTTTTGGTGGGGTATGGATATTTTCTGGAACCACACATTAACAATTTAAGCAAAATTTCAATTTGAATTGATCTGTGAGTTATCATGCTGTTCTCTGAGTAACATGAATCAGCCCAGAGATTGTTTCAAGGTATCAATAAAACTTGAAGTATTTTTCCATTTTATAATACATCCTAAAAAAGTGTCTGCTCACCATCAATATTGACAAGCATTGTCTTCCACTGTGAAGGTCGGATACTTTGATAAAACCCAGTCCACATCTCACATCCACCCCCTAAATCTGCTTGACCGTCAGGGGGAGGGGGAGGGAAAAAGCTTCTTCCGATGGGAGTAAAGTGTAACGAAGGAGTTTGTCTCAATATGATATCAAGGGCTTGAACCACCTCCTGTGGCATCTTGCTGTTTCGTGTGCCTTGAAGAAAGTTCTGTAGTTCATTTACACAAACCTGAGCTGCATACTTGATGGTTAGCTGTTTAGAGTAAATAACAAAGTATCAAGCTAAGATATTGTAGTCTAATCATCTTAATAGATCAGATGGCTTGATAGATGGGTGACCGTCTATTGGGGGGAGGGGAATGATATGGATGGCTGGGTCTCTAGATGGGTAGTGGGGTGGGTGTATGGATGTGTTAGGTCAATGAGTGTATGAATGGGTGGGTGGGTATATAAATGGGTAAGGGATAGGTGCATGGATGGGTAAGGGGGTAGGTGTATGGATGGGTCAGGAAACTGAGTGTATGGATGGATGGAGAGTGGATTGAAAAATATTATGCACGAATTGAGGAATGTGAATGGACCAGTCTGTCAGTCCATCCATCTGCCCACCATTATAATTTAGCTCACAAAAAATAAGCTACCTTGAACTGTCTGTCCTTGCCACCATCTATTCCAGGTAGTACGATCTCAAGCTGTTGCTGCAAGTGGAAAAGTCCTTCACCTTTAATTTTCAAATTTTTTGAAATACCCTTATATCGTAATATGGTATATTGGATCCCAAAATGAACCATTCAATTGGAAAGGTATGGATATTCTATGGCATGATGGAGATTCCAATGGGACCTTATAAAATATTTGATATATAACTGTTATGCCTTGAAAGGTTTTTAATGAACGCACATTCAGAATAGGTTTTACGAGCACGACAAACTGTGTCTAAAAGTCCTCAAAGCAAACGTGTCTGACGTCACAGATAAAGTCCCGTATGTGACAACTGGAAGTGGCTGTTCCTAAGCAGGTTCTACTCTAATATATAACAATTTCCCCCCTCTAAATTTAGGGCTTGAAAATAACAATAACATTCCTACTGATTGGCTGGCTACCGTGTTTATATCAGAGGACAGAGACATGCTCTAGCAAAATGATTCAAAAATATTTCATAATTGCATTATGATACGGCTGCTTATGTCTCTGTACTGTAATATAAGACACTCTGGGAGCTCTAGAGCACTCAAGGAGCAAGAGAAACACTTAGCTACGTCTCATGTTCCTAAACTTGCTTCTCTTTTGCTCTACAGCTCCCAGTGTATTTACATTACAGTGCAGAGACACCTGTGCAAGTTTTTTATTCCTTGAACATAATCATGGAGTACAACTTACACCCTTTTCGCCATCCACAGCTGGAAGTCTGTTTCTACAGTACAAATTCTTCCTACCATCAAATGCCGGACTGTTTCCATTAAATACTGATTTCAGATACTTGTTAACAGCACTTTTGACGACCTCTCGGCATTCTCCGATAGGTGTTTTCTCTGGCTTGATGTCAATATCGTAGTGGAAGATATAGTCAATGTTAYGCAAATCCAATCTGTAGGAGTTAGCTTTTAGTTTGATAGGTYTTCCTGCTTTTCCAAAGTCAGGCCGACGTGGAAGAAGTGCCACTAGTTGATGTTGACGGGACCTTTCTGATAAATATTAAAATTCAAAATTCAAAAGTTATGAAGATCAGTGCACAAAGAAAAAAGAACCTATGATACTGTAGTGTACACCCAAGAAATCACTTCCCTTCCAAATAAAGAATGCATCACAATTTCAAAATATCCATACTTTCCCCCTCCCCTCTTCCCCCCTCCCCCCAAATAAAGGGACCCTTCTCAAAGAGAACTTGGATGTGAGGCTATCATGGAAACAAAACAAAAAAATCACACTTTTTCTCAATGGAATTCGTGGCTTTTTTTCTTTCTGTATTTCCATGTTAGCCTCCTTTTGAGAAGGGTCATGATCCATTCCTGAATATATTCTTGCCTCCAATCCACTGAATATATACAATATATATAATAAAATTTCAAAATAATGAGAGTAAGTACTCCTTACCATCAGTCATTGAACTGGCCAAAACTTCTTTAGGTGGAGTTCTTTGATTTTTTGGTGCTTTGCCCTGAGSCTKTGGAGGCWGTGCCTGWGATGGCTGTGGCTGTGGTTGTCCCTGTGGTGGCTGTGGSCGTCTATTCGATGGTTGTGCCTGTGTCTGGGATGGCTGTGCCTGTGCTTGCGAAGGCTGTGGCTGTCTCTTTGATGGCTGTGCCTGCGCCTGCGATGGCTGTGGTGGTAAACTTGGTGCCTGTTYTGGCATAGTCCTTTGTTCTTGGGGTGTGCCATGCTTGACTTTGGGTTGCATATGTTGACCTTTAGAAGGGTTAGTAACAGACAGTCCTGACACAGCCTCTTCAAGCTGTTTTGTTTGCCTGTCGTAATCTGAGGCATCATATTGTCCTGGTCTTGGCACATTTTGAGGTGCTTCAGGGGGAGGCAGTCCAGTGGTATGTACTATTGGAACTGAAGGAACATTAGGTTTTGGCCCTGGCGCTTTTGGCTCTTGAGAGCTTGACCCACTTGCGCATGCTGTTAGATTAAATCATAGAAGAAATAAATGAAGTTTTTAATCGTCAGCTTAGAGGAAGCCAACCCAGTAAACTT